CCACCTCCCACACCAACCCGAAAAATGAGTCTCCTCTTCCAGCCAAGAAGCCCAGCTCCACCCAGCTGAGACAGGAAAGGGCCCCTTGGGCAGGGGTGGGAGAGTAGTGCCTAACCAGAGCCTCCATTCTCCCAGCAGCCTTTCCTCCCGAGGCCCGAGTAGCCAGCCCAAGCCTGGAGTAAAGCCCACCATGAACCTTGGGGGAAAGCCAGCCCCAGGCCCTACCCACCTGCCTCTCAGCTGCTTTTGCCACCTCTCTGTCCTGCCACCCCTCTCTGTCTGCCCTGATCCTTGCTACCCTTTTGCCATTCAGTGACTCCCCTCCCACCTACCCCTCAGGCCCCCAGAGCTGGGCATTGTTGAGGAGCCAGGAGGAGACTGACTGGTCCCTGCCCTCAGGAAGCCTAAGCTCTGAGCCCAGATGGAAATCACAGCTACTGAACTGCAGTGAGCTCTGCGAGGCACCAAGCAATGAAGCCATCAGGAAGGCAGAGGAAAGACAGACTGGGCAGAGGTGCGGGGCTGGGATGGGGAGAGGCGAAGGACAGGGAGCGAGGTGGTAGGAGGCTTTGGGATAAAGGAGGGCTGGCTGGAGACCACAGAGGGAGGGTCTGTGCTGGGGTGGAGGGGCTCTGGCTGTTCTGATGAGGAGGCCTTATGTGTCACAGTAGGCTGTGAGAAGATGCTGGTGGGGGAATAAAAGTGCAGATTTCACCAGGAAATTCACCTGGTGACAGGGTATTAGATGGGAGAAAGGAGTGTGGTTGCCAGGTAAAATACAGGATGCCCACTGAAATCTGAATTTCACAAGCAATGGATCCTTTTTTAGTATATGTCCCACAAGTTGCATGCTATAGGTCTCGTGTAATATTGGGATATTCTTATATTTTAAAAAGTATTCATAGCTCACCTGAAATTCACATTAAACTAGGCATCCTGTGTTTTTCTTTACTAAATCTGGCAACTGTATCCATGAAACTCTTGATCTCTTGCTGGATCTTCCACATCCTCACACCTCTCCCCTCCATTCCTTCCTGGCCCCTCTCCCTCCTCTTCCTCCTCCTCCATCCAATCCTTCTGGGGCTAGAGCCACTCATCAGTTTCTGAGAATGGAGGAGTGCAGTCCCCAGAGAGCAGCACATGGAACCAGAGCTGAGTCTGCCACAATTTCCAGGTTGGTCCCCAGATTCTGGGGCAGTGTGGAGAAAGAGGGAGCCTGTGTTGGCCAGGGAACCCGGGCCTCAGCTTGGAAGTGGAGAGTGGAGGAGGTACAGAGTGGAGAAACATCAGAAACCATATAGTAACACATTTCTAAGTTGGAGACAAGCTTTCCTGAACCACAAAGGGCTTGAAGACACAGGAATTGTTTCCCAGAATAGTCAAGATCTTGCAAAGCTGTTCCCTCCACTCTGGCAGCTGCCCTAGGAGACCTGAGGTCCTTCAAGGTATAGAGTTGTTCCAGCAGCTCATTTCTCTTTGGGTGTAGAAAAGCAAAGAAAAAGACAAGGCACACCCCCCCAACATCTGATTGGTATTTTCCTTATGAATTACAGTGATGTATGCAAAAATAACAGAGAATCAGTAATATTTTCTCTTTAAGTCTCAAATGTTATGTCAATAAGAAGAAAACTGCCAGGAGTCCAGGAAGTTTAGGGGCATCTGGGCTCAGCCAGGCTGAGTCTCCTGCTGCATCCCATCTGGGTCCATGGGCACTGTCCCTGCAGGTGCAGCCTGAGTTTTCAAAGGCCACAAGTCCTAGCCATGTAAGCCATTGGCCCATGGCCGTTCTCTCGGACCAAGATTGCTTTCCTGCTTTTTATTGAAATCACTGTCTGTACAATTCTGCACTGCTTCTTTCCTCTGTTCTCAAACTGTAATGCTAAGCATCTGTCCTTGAAAAAGGACAGTCCCCCACAGCCCAGCCAGCAGCTTCTCCTTAAGCCCCTTGAGTTCTCTGGCTCACTTCAGCAGCAGAGTCTTCTGCTACTCTCCCAGAGACCTGTCCTGTGAGGCTTAGCACTCACTCATGGGCAAGCCATTGAACACTGTGAGCCTCTGTAACCTGTGAAATGGGTGTGTTAGCAGCCACCCTTCAGGATGCTCTAAGGCTCCATGAGGTGATTTATAATAGCAGGAGCTTTCCCTGAGCAGATTCTCCCGAAGTAGCACAGTTCCTTTCGCCATATAAGTGGTCTTGTGTTAAAGTGGATCTCCAAAGGCTGCACTCCCTCTTGATGAGCATTAGCATATTGTTAGCATAATCAGAAACTTCCAGAGGCAGAGGCCTTCATGAGGATATGTGCAGCACAGATGGTTCCTGTGTTGGGAGATGGGTTGGGGTTGGAGGACACACACCAGGAGGATGTCCCATCTTGGAGGCTTGCCACAGTGTCTGGGAGCCAGGCGCTTCTGGAGGGTGAAATGGGAATGAGGCAGAGGATCTGGGGGAAGAAAGACAGACTGTCCTGGGAACTGTGAACATGGGAGAGGGCATCCAGGGCCCTGTCCACGGGGGTCTCCAGTCTGTGGAAGACACTCCCTGCCTTGACTGCTAGCTTGTTATCAAAACTACATGGGGAAGAAATATTCCCCTAAGTCTAGAAGCCCCAGGCTTCTAGAGACATTGAAACTCTTCTGGGAAGCTGGGCTTTTTCCCTCCTTCTGGGACCTGCTGCACCTAGTGGCTCTCCTCCCTCCTGTACACCAGCCCTTCGATAGCCACTCTAGGCCCTCTATCTTCCTCCTTCTACTCTCTGTTTCACTTGTTTTCTTTTCTGCAGTCAGAGCCAGGCAGCCCAGGTGTGAAGGTAGACTCTGTACCCATGGTGCCAATGTGCAAATGGAGGGATAAGGGTGCAGTTTGTCTCCCAGTCAGGCTGCCTTGTCTAGGCAGACAGGTTTTAATTTGACCATCCTGGTAGTCTGGGGAGAACAGCATAAACACTTCTGAAACCTGCTGTAGTCTGCTAGGCACTTGACTTTAACCATCAGACCTACAGGTCAGTAGAGAAGGATGTTTGGGGTGCGGGGAGGAGTTGGAAGGATGATTGGAGGCTAACAGCCAATTGTGCATAATCCTCCATCTTTCCTGTGTAACTTGGTATGAAGATTTTTACTGATACTGGTTTTGTTGCTCTGGACCTGGCTCTGACCAATTATGCCAGCACTCGTGTGTACTCCTGTCCACACAGTTGCAAAAGTAAAATGTGTGCACACAACTCTTCCCCATCTTTGATGGTACATGGCCTCATAAGCAAATTGAGCAAAGCAGGAAGGAGACAACAGCCTGATAGGTGGTGGCAGTGTTTGGGGGTGGGGAGGAAAAAACGGGAAGAGCCACCAGGTGGGGAGAGAGGAATGTGTCTCTTAGAGTGAAGGTGCAGACAATTCCAGAGTACCTGGGAAACAGCTCCTGTTTCATTTGGGGTCTGGGCTTCCCTACATCTATCCAGTCGCTGTTTGGGGACAAGCACCCCAAACAAGCCACATCCAGGGGTAGGTTGGGCATCTCACCAAAATGAGTTTCATATATCTTGCAGGTTTTAAGTCTGTTTTACAGGGTAAAGACCTCTGAAGTTGAATAAATTCAAGGAATTTATAAGGATATCTTTACTGGAGAACTTGGAGTGAGAGGGGATGTTGTTTAATGGTCCTTGAACTGGCCCAGAGGGGCCTGGCTCCAAGTGCACTTGACTGTAGAAGCCCCTTTCTCAAGGGCGAGGTAGGACCTGTTTGGAAAATGCTGATTTAAAGTATGGTCTCTATGAGGAGATGCATTAGAAATCCCAAAACCTGACTTCCGAACTCATTTTGGGGATATAGCCAGTCTCCATCAGCAGGTTTTCTTGTTGACTGGGAGCCGCCAGGATAGGATTTGTCTTAGAAGGTCTGGAGGAGTGAGGGCCTGGAAAGCAGTTCTGCAGACCCTGAGTACATAGAAGGCTCTCAACTATTATTTTTAGCAATGCTGTTTTACTGACAGCGTTAATGTCTACGATAGTTATTATAGAAGTATTGAAAGGTTGGGGTATACATCTGTTGGTGCATGATTAGTCCAGGGCAAGAGCCCTGCTTCCAAGGCATGGATTGTACACGCGTGGAAGGGGCTGCCGACATCCCCTGGGGTCGAGGTGGTGGGTTAATGCGAGTGGGTCTGGATTTACCCGCTTCGGCCGTACGACCTCGGGCAGGACCCGGAGTGGGGCGGAGGGGCAGCGAGGACCCAGCCTCCGGCCCTCCGCTTTGGCCGGGCGCACTGGCGAAGGGGGCGGCCCGGAAACGGTGGTGGAGAAGTTTTCTCCGAGGTGCCTCCCCTCCCGCCCCCTCGCACTCCTCTCTCTCCCCAGGCCGGCACCCCGTGCCCTCCCGCTGCCAGGCCCCCTCCTGTCAGGGAGGACAGTGTCCAATAA